GGGGGGGGGGGGGGAGGCAAATGACCAGAATGGAGGAAAGTCAGGCATTTGGCTAGAAGATCGATGGATAGAGGTTGCCTGGAGTCAGGGCGAGTAGGGTTGGTTTTTTGGATTCCTTTGATTAGGAGAGTGATCTGGGGGTTTGTTTTAGCGGGACATGGATGTCCGTAGATTAATTTAAAGAAAAATTGAATGCCGCTAAGATAGACTTTGATGGTACTGGATTGGATGGACTTTACTTGGTTAAGATACATAATGAAAGAAGATATTGAAAGGAGCGAAAAGTCGGGAAAAAGTTGGCTGTAGGAGGTATGGAATTTACCTCACCCCATGCTGTCCAGTAGGATTGTAGAGTTCTGGGTGAGACTGCGTGTAATATTGAGTCTAGGGAAAGAGTGTGGAGATGTTAAGAGTGGGTGAGTTACAGGAATATCAAGTCTGAATAGGGAGGTACTGGGGTTGGGTCTGTAGATAGTGAAAGAAGATATTGAGTAAAATTTTGGTCGGGGTGATTTGCCAATTCTTGCGCCAAGGAGGAGATCTATCTAATATCTAATATTAATTAATATTATTATTATTATTAATATACGTTTTTATATTATAGGTAATATCTGCTAACACTTTATTATGGTGGCTTCCCAACAGATGTTCTACTGACTGTAAGTAACGTTGCAAGGTCAAATTATTTTAATAACCATAACCTCTTATTCTAATAAGTCTACTAATACTCAACTAATACTCTAATGGGAGTTGGGTTTTATATATTTTAAGCAATGTCTATGTCAACACTGTCTACCCACTCTCATAAATCATGTCAATAGTTGTGGGATAAATCTCACCATTTTTGCTATAGGTATTGAGGCAGCTTCATCTGAGGAAAAGACAGAATGGCCCCTCTTGACAAAACATACAAAAAAATATTAATTTTGTCAACTACCAGCTGTCAACACAATCAAGTTTTATGTCCAACAGAGTTGACTTGTAAGCTGATGGAATTGACAAGTGTACTTTTCAAATGATAAATGAGAATTATTCTAATGTTGTTTTTAATTTAATGTATATTTGCCCTGATTTACATACCTAGCATACATAATATATTTACATATACTGCAGGCATGCATGCAAACACACACACACACACAAACACACACTGTTCTTACTGTCTATATGAGGATTTATTTTTATTCTGACATAATATTTAATTGGCAGAAGTTCAGCTTCAGTATGAATGTAATGAAGAGAAAATAAGAGACATCTCAGTGTTACTGATAAATCTTGCAGCTCAGAGTATTATTTACAATTTCTCTACAATATATTCTGATTGATCAGCACAGTTTCACTGATGATCCAGAATAAACATAAAACCCAGGACAGAGCGGCTGAGTGAATGTGGTCTGGACTGTGTGGATGAGGCTCATTGTGTCAGAGACGCTGTAGAAGGACAGAGTTCCTGCACTGTGATCCACAAACACTCCTCCTATTCTACTACTGGATACTGCAAGGAGTTTAGTTACTATGTCATTGTGTATTAATGAGTAACTAGAAGGAGAGCAGAACAAACTCCAGGACTGATCATTACGTCCAAACACACGTTCATAACACCGTCCTTTCCTACTGATGCTCTTATATGACACTGATATATGTACACTCCCACTCCACTCGATCTCCCAGTAACAGCGTCCACACACACTCTCTACACAACACCTGAAACACATCGAATCTGTCTGGATGATCAGGGTACGGCTGCTTTGTTCCAGTGTATTTAATAACTCGGTTCCTCTCAGAGAGACAGAGACATTTATTCACTGTGTTCAGATCCAGAGTGAGCTGATGGAAATCTGATGGAGATAAAATACATCAGAATCAGGAATTATAAATATGTTTCAGAACTCTTCATGTTTAATGTATCAGCAGTGTCTCAGTACAGCTTACCAGATATCCTGTGCAAATCATCATTTACATTGACTTACATTGTAGGAAGTCATTCCTGGTCCTGGGAACAATGTTGGTCATTGTGACTATGGAAATCAACAGACAAGAACAGTAATTATAATGTCAGGAGAAAATGATCCCTGCATCCATTCCTAAGACATTTAAAATATTATGTTGTATATGATATTAGATGATGGCGGACTCATTTCTGAAAGCAGATGAATCTCCAGGGGCCTCATTTATAAAAACGTGCATAGAACAATCCTAAATGTGAATGTACAACAGTTTCTGAAATTTTCCTAAGAATGACTTATACTGTATGCACAAACAATTGTACCTGCAAACACAATGTGATCAAGTGCATTAACACTACTTGCAGAACATTTATGGTTCAGAAAAAGTACTACACTCATCATAATTTAAAATTTATTTATCAGTATATATACATACATATATACACACATGCACAAGTGAGCTGTTGTTTCTTTTTTATATACTGTAACAATAGTAACATATTGTGCCTATTTATCTTCACATTTTCATAATCAAAGCTGGATTATTTTAACAATTGGTATATGAGTGCAAAAGCTTAATTCACATGCTCTTTAGTTGGGGTATAATGTAAAAACTGAAAATGTTCTTATGTACATTTATAAATCCCAATTTGTTCCTCATTTTTGACATAGGATGAAACTCATGGAATTTGGGGTTTCAGGTCAGAGGTCACTTTACCTCTGTCAGAGATCTTTTTGAGCTCTTCTTTGCAGAAATCCTCCAGCTTGTCTCTTAGCTGATGGACAGATTCTCTTATGCCATCAAAAGAGAAGAGAGAACAGAAGGGAATGTTGGGTACATCTGTAGATTCGGGAGGTGCAGAGAGTGACTGGAAACTCTACAGACAGTAAATTTAAAGAGAAAACGGGACAAATCATTATTAATAACTTTTGCACAGTTAGTTACACTGTCCTGAAACTTCACAAGAACCCTTAGGGTACAGTCCCAAGGATAGGACTTATGTGGTTTCAGTATACTTATGGTCTTTACAGTCAAATTCATCAGTGTGTTAAAATTGTTTTTTATTTTCAGAAATAGTTGCCTTTATCAAGTTTATGATGTAAGAAATCTAGTAAAAATGAGGCAAAAACATTAGCAAACTTTGTACTGTTGTTTGGCACCTAGTAGTATTTAGCAGCTAAATACAGTTCTGTCATGACCAATACATCCACAACATGCTGCTGTGAGCATGTAAGAAATATTGCTGCTGCAAATATAACATACATGAAATAACCCCCCACAAAGCAGGAAAGCATAGAAGGGACAATACAAGCCAAAACACCCCCCCCCAACAAGCAGATCTATCGCCAAGATATATGTACTGCTGCTGCTCCGAAGAGCCATGTGAACTGCATTTATTGCTATCTATGTGTGCCTGGGCTACCACACCGACCAGCTTAACACTAGTGGCCTATGACTATGAGCTGCTGCGGCAGAGCAAGTACCGAGACTTGCTACTGCCAATACATCCACATCATGCTGCTGTGAGCATGTAAGAAATATTGCTGCTGCAAATATAACATACATGAAATAACCCCCCACAAAGCAGGAAAGCATAGAAGGGACAATACAAGCCAAAACACCCCCCCCCAACAAGCAGATCTATCGCCAATACATGTGTACTGCTGCTGCTCCGTGCCATGTGAACCACATGTATTACTATCTATGTGTGCCTTGGCTACCACACCGACCGGCTTAACGCTAATGGCCTATGACTATGTGAGCCTGGGCTACCACACCGACCAGCTTAACACTAGTGGCCTATGACTATGAGCCTGGGCTATCACACCGACCAGCTTAGCACTAGTGGCCTATGACTATGAGCCTGGGCTACCACACCGACCAGCTTAACACTAGTGGCCTATGACTATGTGAGCCTTGGCTACCACGCCGACCGGCTTAAAGCTAGTGGCCTATGACTATGTGTGCCTGGGCTACCACGCCAAGCGGCTTAACAATAGTGGGCTATGACTATGTGAGCCTGGGCTACCACGCTGACTGGCTTAACTTCAATTAGACGCGCACTGTGTGTAATGTTTAATTAACAAAATGGATATATATACATTACAATCCGATAGATAAAACCCCAGCACCCACCTGAGCAAATATCATAATTTAGTCATTTGATAACTGCTGTTACTTTCTCCACTTCATCAGTCCCAGCGGCAGCGTAACAGCTTCTTAATTCACGTTAGTGCAATGATGAGACGGACAAAGTTAGCGAACGCATGCCATTTTACTCTCTCGTGCAGATAAAAGTTGTCAAAGTTACAGTGCACAAAAACCCCTGGGTGGACTGACCTGAATTAACTGAAATAAAAGCAGAATACAAATGTTCTTTTTCCGTTTTCTGAATTACACAGCACAGCGAGCACATTTCTCCGAACTACACTACCCATAATGCATTTCACTCGGAACTAACTGTTACAGACGTAGATAGTGATCTTCAGCGTCTCCCGCAACACTGTCATTGATATGACTGCGATAAGCGCGTGCTTCTGACGCTGCGTGCAGCTGAAATCAACCACACACTCATCACAATGAAAACATCGACCTTAGAAATAATGATGTGAACACTGGGATAATCGCTGTTGTATATGGCGAACCCCCGTTGAAATGCATACGCAAGAATGTCCGTTGCTATCGGCGTGTCTTCAGAGCGATTACATATGCTCTAAGCTGCGTTTTGCTCCAGCTGTATAAACACAGATGCTAAATGCTGCTGCTAATATGCTTAATATTCGCTCCTGCATACAATGCAAACTGCTAACATGACACTTAGTTTAAACTTGATTATGGTTGCTCATTTTTTAATTCAATTAGGCAGACCGCGCACACAGCCATATAGATTGGAAGAGCATTCACTTATCTTAGATGTTGATTTCGCTGTTCTGAAGCAAGCTGCGACTGATACGGCAAGCCCTAGTCATATATTTGAATGTTGAGCACAAGCTCATTGACTACCGATACAGGAGAGAACCAATCAGCTGTGCCATGTGATGTCATTAGGTCAGACTGAGTTAGACCTATCGGACTGCGCCATCCAGAGTTTCATGCCATAACTCTGTATTAGGTAGTAAACCAAAATGCATGCAGCTGAAAGGCCGGTCTGATCTCCCCGTGAAACCAAACTCACAAAACAGATGCCATGCAACAAAACAATAAACTTCCTAATCTACAGAAAAGATCTCAAAGAAAACCATTTGCCCAACTGTCCCTTCACCCATCCTTAAGCCCCCTCCCACCCTCCTTGGTCACTGAAAGTTGACTCAGAGTGTCAGGAACTCAGCTTAATATACATACTGCATTTATTATATCTCAAGAATTCATGATTTTAATTCTTTCATGTTTGGTATCAATTTAAATGTTTCAGTGTGATTTTTAAAATGGTCTCAATTTCCCAGCAGTCAACTACTCAACCAGATTTTGCTTTTTACTGCTGTGGGTACCGCCACTGCCGTGTCTGCAAAATGCATTTGCAGCTGTTGACTGCTGAGTGGTGCTTTAACCACAAGTTCCCCTTCTAGGATGAAATAAATCATCATGGTTTTGATTGAAATAAGTATGAATAAAACTATTTAATGAGCATTTACAACAGTTAAAATGGCTCACTATTTGGCAGGTATTGTGTTAAAATCACCCTTTTTATTCATGCATTTATAACTGCTTATCAACGATTTATAATGCATTTGTAAATGAGATATTAGTCATTTTTTTGAAGCTGCAGCCACCGATCTGGACGAGCTCACAGAGACTGCAACATCTTATATCAGTTTCTGTGAAGATATGTACATTCCTACCAGGACTCATCTAACTTACAACAACGACAAACCATGGTTCACTGCAAAACTCAGAC